TATCATCTGCAAGCTTATCTTTCATGCAATAGCATATTTTCTATGGAATGAGCGAAACGCTTGTCTGCATTCGGGAATTTTTAAACAGTCGCCAATCTTGGTAAAGGAAATCCAACTTCAAATTCGGGCTAAACTAGCAAAGCTTGGATCGGGTTGCACTGCTCAATTTGGCTCGCTCTGGTTCGGCTCTTCCAATTGATTACGAGAGCTTCATTTCTTCTTGGTTCCGTTTCATCCAAATCTGATCCTCATATCGGCTCTCTGCTATAATTTGGTGATTGCATCACACGTAGTTCTGGTTTATCTTCTATAGGCTTTTCATTTCATTTGGTAATTGTGTATGTTCTCAAATGTCGCCTATTTAAGGGCCAAATGAAATCTAAGATGCTTGGTTTTATAGTTTTCTTGAACAATCATGGTCTAAATCAAGAGAACGAAATCCAAGTTCACGATTTTGTGATTTGGAAATCATGTTTTATCGAAGTTGTATTATTTGTTGAATGTTATTAATTCAAACGATTTTCATATGGATTAGATTTATAAATGCAGAAAAATACAATGACTTATGGTTTTATAACCAGTCTGGTCACGTTAATTATATTTGTATCGATATCAGGTTTGTGATTTGTTTTCTTCAAATTTTGAATTATTTATCAACAAAAAAATTATCTACAAAAGAAGAAAGATGAAACCTTGCTTTTTAATTAGTAAAAAGACTTTTTGAAAGTTTGCAAAAATAATTTGTTAACATAGTTCAAAATTGTACAACAATTAGAGAAAGAAGTAGAAACAAATTTGCGGTAGCATACGACTTACAAAATAGTTTTGCAATAGCAGCTCAATGCAGTTGGGAGTATTGTGGCGATGACGAATAGAGGAGATTTTCGGTTACTGGTGAGATCATTTTTGTCTTAGTTTTGATTTTTGTGATCTAATGGTGAGTTGTGACATATAATTTAAAATTTCTTTTATTTGGTATCGTCGTTCGTTTCCCTCGTATTATAGACGATAGACAGTTACTTGATAGGCTAAAAGAAATTAGTGAACTTTTTCTAAATACTCCTTCCGTTTCACAAAGAGTGTCGTTCTGACATTCTTCACATAAATTAAGAAATAAGATCAAATGTCTCTTATACCCTTATTAATTTGCAGAAAATGACTCTTAGAATCATATTTATAATTAATTTTCTGAATTTATTGAGGTTAAAAATGGTATTTTATGTTAAAAAAATTATATTGGAATTTTAAAATGACATTCTTTTTGAAACAAAAAAAGTGTCAGAACGACACTTTTTGTGAAACGGAGGGATTAGAAAATTTGTGATTAATTTACTTTATTATTAACGAAATGGTTAATTTAATGAATCCGTACGTACCGAGTCAAATACTACTACTAGCATCATTATTCACTCATTGAGATCTGAGCCGACAGTTGTATTCACTTATTATTTCAAAATACTACTCTCAAACGATTCGAATAAATCGATGAGATCCAACTATTTACTCTAACTATTGGTCTAATGAATTCTTGTTATTCGGACACATCCCAAATCTTCTTAGTACTGTTTTCGAAGGATTCTACAAACTATACCAAAGATCCAATAATTCTTTCTACGTCAGAGTTTGATTAACCTGTATTTATACTTAGTTCCGAGCATTTATATCTAGTTGGTTTTAGTACTTAAGGCACAACTCCCGGTTTTTTCGTAACATGCAAATTGGCCAATTACTTAGTTTTAACTTTTAAGATGTGTTTGGTTATATATGACTGGTAGCAAACATTGCCTAGTCAAACTGGATAAAAAACATAATGAATACATTCACTTTGTTGTGTTTGGTAACAAAAAGTTGTAATTATTTGGTAACAAAAAAAAAGAGAATAAAAAAAGGCCAGCAAAAAAAAAGTCACTTTGTGTTTGGTAACAAAAAGTTGTATTTTTCGACGGCTCATAATCATTTTTCTCGAACTGTTTTATCCAGCTTTATTATTGCCTTATATCAGTCCGATTTTAAAAAAATACTTCAACTTATTCTGAAAAAAAAAATACTTCAACTTATAAATTATTTCTAATCGAAATTTTTTTATTTACAAATTAGAAATCAAATTGGTAATAGAATTAATACATCACAAAAATAGTTTTTTAAAAATAGAAAGTGCCACTTTTAGGTCAAAGTTGGAATACTCCATATGTTTAGTATAATGTATGTTTAAGAAAAAACATACATCCTAAGAAAACAAATTAAATTTGATTTTTAATGTATCATTTTTTGTGATTAACAATTTTCTAGGTAATAACATTTCTATTAATTCAACTAATTTTCTTGAAGTTTACAATTTATTATCATTAGCTAATAAAAATGCATAAAAAACTTTTAAAAATCAATCTTTTTGAAACAATTTTTTTTCTAAAATGCTCATTAGTTTAAAACAGAGAGAGTATAACCATATAGTAATTTATTTACCGGATTTTTAAAAAATTACTGATAAAGTATATCACCATTAATTTAAATAACTAAGTGGTAGCAAAAGTGTTCTTAATATAAAAAGAAGGAACTACACACCTTATTGTCGATCTTTTACCACCAAACCACCGTATTAATATTAATATCACACAAAAAGGTAAATATGAAAGTTTATATATATATTTTTTTCAAACTTTCACCTCCAACACACCGTTACTTAATTATCATAGAAAAAATTGTATAGAATTTTACGTTTATTTTAAAAAATAATGTAATCATATAAAAAGGTTTATAGAAATAGTTTTAAAATAATGTAGTTAGTCTATCCATTCCAATACGCGCATGTGAACGGTGGCTGTATATTACGTTTCCACCGATTAGTATTGTTTTATTGTTTTTGACAAAGGGTTTAAACCGGTTAGTGTTGTTTATTGGTTTTCTTAATTAGTATTACGCGCGTACGTACGTTGCTTGTTGGCAACTTTGAGATGAACTACATAGATACGTATATCATTTTATCTATCTCACACTATACATTATATGATAATATGAACGTATCTTTATACGTATGATGTGTAAAGTTACGCCTATGTGAGTTGTTCAAACACACTTTTCTTCATCGTATCACTTTTTGTAGTACATGTTAATATTCAAAATAAAATATACAAGACCCAAAGGTTTTCCTCTAGCTTTCAAACATAAACAATAAGCATGCAGTGGTTTGATTAATCATGTCAATGTAATTGTGTTAACCAATAAATTTTCCATATTTTACTTACCTTCACGACTTGTCGACCTTTCGTTTTTTTGGTAAATCGATTAAATTATATAAATGCCAAAAATGTATTTATTAGGAATATCTGGTTATCGGCGAGGTATAAAATTGTAATCGTTTATTGGTTAACATCGATTAATTAATGGTTCGGGCTTAATATTAAATATTAAATAAAGTACCAAAGATAATTGTTTTGTCTAAAATGTTGCTGAAAACGGTGCATATAATGAGATTTTGATATGTTTAAAGTTTGTTAGAGGGACATATAAGGAGACAAGTCGCTATCGACCTAGCTTTCAAGAGAAAGTGTACATATGCATGTATTACGTGGTAGCCTCTCAAATTTTATTTAGATCACTTATTTTTGTTGGTAGATGATTACAAAAATAATAGACCTTCCAAAATTCTCTCTTTTTTAGAAAAAAATCGTGTAAATTTTCATTGTTTGAACGATGCTAAACAGACCGTATTTCAAAACTTGTAATTTTATATGTCTTGTTCTTTCTTATGTTAAATTAGCATAGTTATCATGTTGGCATCGGTCTTGTTACGGTTATTGATACAATTAGTATAACAACCTAACCGTTGCAATGATATATGCCAATACGTATAAATATCGATGACGACAAATTTCGAATAAATTATTTAGGACATATATATATATAATTATAAATGATGCAAAAAGTGTCGCTAGATGCAAAGCTTGAATGTTCCATTGCCTCGTTACATTATGATTAAAATATATAAACTGAAGCACTTCATTATATGCTTATTTTAATTCCATATATATATTTTGTTCTTATTATTAACCCACCAAAACACCTTTGATTGAATTGAGTAGTTATCCGTGGGTGCTACGAAAGGAAGAAGAAATTTCATTAAATCGTATTTGATTGGACAAAAAATATATATGCAAACTTTGAACGACAGTATTCACCTAAAAAAAATCCACGTGTGCAACTACGTCACTTTATTCGACTCTCGTAAACATTTTACAAATTAATACTCTAAAAAATGAATTAAGTCAAATTCAGATAATAGCAAAAAGAATTGGATTGAATCAAATATTCTTTATTTGTTTTTTCGGGTGACCAATTTTCAGTGGAGATTAAAAAACTCAAAGAAAGAAAAATATTATCTAACGCGTACCAGTATATATTATTATATATAAGAAAGTTAACCCAATTAAAAACAAAAAATTACATAAACTACAGATAATCCGTCGAAAAGAAAAACTACGAGCATGTCGATACTGTGTATCAGATGTATAAGTTACGGATCGTAAAGTAAGTAAACTAGAGTACTACTAACTTACACGAATTCCTAAGTAAGAAAATTAATTACTTTTTTTGATACCGTAAGAAGATTTATTACATTATTAGTCTAAAGACTCTAAACTCAGATTTTCAGTAAAGAATAAACTATTAAATGATGATATACAGTTTTAATTTTTTAATTCGCCTGTAAAGTGTAAACCCTGTAATTATTATATGTACGTAAGAAGATCTTCAGTACATATTTATTTTAAATAATTAATTAGGAAAAGTAAAATTTTCGAGTTGAACTTTTGACCTCGTATGAATATTCTGCAGCTACAAACACGTGGTTGGAAATATCGACGCTTCTCTTTCTCTCTCTTTCACTCTCTCTCTCCCTCTCTCTCTCCCTCTCTCTATCCTGTCTTGTCGCTCTGGAGTTGAAAGTATTATATATATAAACTCCATTGCTGAGGAGTTTGTAACTTGCGATTTGTGAGCTTCATTTTATCTCTCAGTTCTGCTCAAGAAAACAAAAACAATAAAGAAACCTTTCGAATCTTTGTCTCAAGAACAGAATAGAATCAGAAGGAGATTCAAGAAGAACTAATTGAAAGTTTCAAGATTCCTCAAAGAGCTTTTTCTGCTTGAGGGATAAACTTGCCGACCGTATATTCGAGGTGCTTATTCATCTTTGACTACGACTGATTCTTCTCTATATATTTTTTTTGTTGGTTTTAATTTCTCAGTATATTTTTTTCTTTCTGTTACACGGAAATGAGTTTGACAATCTTTTGATATTACTACTTCCTTTGAAGAGTTAAGCGTTGATGGGTTTTTATTTAAAATGGTGATTAACTATTTATTTTCATTTTTTTTCCATGATTTCTGGGCAGCATTTGGTCGTGCATCCAAAAATCGTTTTTTCTTGGTTGTCTCTTCGTTTTTTTTTTGTTCTTCTTTCCAAATCCAGTGATTTGATACTTATTAGTTTATCGACTTACAATTTTCCGGATAAAATGTGTGTTAGTTTACGTTTTGATTATCGGTTCTGATTTATTTCCGGGATGCTCTGTTTTCCAGATCCGAAAAGTTCTGATTTTTTTTTCTTTTTCTTTTAAAGTTCGTTCCTTTGGCTAAAATCTATTGATGGGAAGGTGTTTGTGAAAATGCGCTTTGTGCTCTGTATATAATTTTTTAATACATACGCGTGTTTGTGCGTATACGAATCATCAGACAATAACAGAATCGTGATGTTTTCACTTCAGGTCAGAATCGTCTCTGTTTCGATTGGGATCTGTTGAATGGGTGTATCATTCTCCTGTCCGTTCGCCGAGCAAGACGACGTGGAAAGTGCTCTAGACTTCGTCACGGTAAAGTCCATAAGCTTTGGTGATGAAGACGAGTGCAAGACTCCCAAGAGATCTGTCAATTTCAATGACAAAACTCTTGAGCCCACGATTTTGAAATCTTTGGGATCTGGTAAAATGGTCGTTGAGAAATCTGTTAGCTTCAAAGGGATGCAACTGGAGAGAATGATCTCGCTTAAAAGGTCTGTCTTGAAAGAAGATTACACGAAAGATAATGGCTTTGAGCTTGACAATGCCGGGAGGATTGCTAGAGAACTCTCAGTTCTTGATCCGAGGAATCCTAAACACGAAGCTGCTATCAAATTACAGAAAGTTTACAAAAGCTTCCGTACCAGGCGAAAGCTCGCGGATTGCGCGGTGCTCGTGGAGCAAAGCTGGTTAGTTAGTGTTTTTTTTATCTTTCAAAACTCAAAAAACGTTCCTTTCTTTCTGTGTTGTGTTGTGATCTAACGTTGTTGTTCTGCTTTCTATTGCAGGTGGAAACTTTTGGATTTTGCTGAGCTGAAGAGAAGTTCTATATCTTTCTTTGACATTGAGAAACACGAAACCGCGATTTCAAGGTGGTCTAGAGCAAGGACTAGAGCAGCTAAGGTTGGTAAAGGTTTGTCAAAGAATGGAAAGGCTCAAAAGCTTGCTTTACAACACTGGCTTGAAGCGGTAAGTTTGAGACTAATCTCAGTTTCAATTTTCTTTTAGTACCACTTTTTGGATTGAACGTTATCTGATCTTGGTTTTATGCACTTTCTTTCAACAGATTGACCCGAGACATCGGTATGGACACAACCTACACTTTTACTACAACAAATGGCTCCATTGTCAGAGTAGAGAACCTTTCTTCTACTGGTAATTCCTTCTCACCTACTCATTATCTCATTCCTGCAAAACTTTTTCTTTTTTGTCCTAAATCAAGAAACTAAACTTAGAAATGGGTTTGATTCAAATATTGCAGGCTTGATATTGGCGAGGGGAAAGAAGTAAATCTTGTGGAGAAATGTCCTCGATTGAAACTTCAACAACAGTGCATTAAGTACCTTGGTCCGGTTAGTATCCATTCCTTTTATCTCTGCTCAACAAGTAACTTTTCCGAGGAATTAGAACTTTGTTTCTTATTGTTGTCATCTTTATGTTTTGTGTAGATGGAAAGGAAAGCTTATGAGGTGGTTGTGGAAGACGGCAAGTTCTTCTACCAGCATAGCGGAGAGATTCTTCACACTTCTGCTATGGAAGATAGTGATTCCAAATGGATTTTTGTGCTCAGCACATCTAAGGTGTTATACGTGGGGAAGAAGAAGAAGGGTACGTTTCAGCATTCAAGCTTCTTAGCTGGAGGAGCTACTGTTGCTGCAGGAAGATTAGTTGTTGAGAATGGTGTTCTTAAGGCTGTTTGGCCACACAGTGGACATTATCAACCCACAGAAGAGAATTTCATGGACTTTCTCTCTTTCCTCCGAGAGAACAATGTCGATATCACTGATGTAAAGGTAAGAGAAAGAGATTTTGATTGAATGATGTATTAAGTGTTTAGATATTGAGTCTGTGAGTATTATGTTCTTACAAGTGTTTATTTTCCTGTGTTTCAGATGAGTCCTACAGATGAAGATGAATTCTCTCTTTACAAACAGAGAAGCACTCATATGAGAAACCATTCTTTGGAAGAGGATTTGGAGGGTGAGAAGACCACTGCCTTTCAAGACAAAGCTGATCAAACAGAAGAAGAACCAACTCTGGTGATGGCTAATCTCGAGACACCGAAAAAGATGGAATCTCCATCTATCAGCACATTTGGCGAGGAGATCCAATCCGCTGGATCAAAGTCTACTAAAATACGTGAAGACTACGATTCAGGTGATGATGAAGAGGATGAGGAAGAGATGTTTGACTTGGAACAAGAATCAATGCCTTCAGAGCAGAGCTCAGCCAGAGGAGGAGAAGAAGAAGCAAACAAGGAGAGTGAAGTAGTCAAGATTCCAGAAGAATCAATCCTAAAAAGGATCAACTCAAAGAAGGAAACTAGATCTTTCCAACTTGGGAAACAACTATCATGCAAATGGACAACAGGTGCAGGACCAAGGATTGGTTGTGTAAGAGATTATCCATCAGAGCTTCAGTTTCAAGCACTGGAACAAGTGAACCTGTCTCCGAGAAGTGCTTCTGTTTCAAGACTCTGTTTCTCGTCCTCATCGCAAACGCAAACGCCTCAGATGTCACCGTTATGGCGAGGAATGTCACTGCCTGCAGATATAACGCATTCGTAAAACTGATGCACAATAAGTTGCTTTTTCGATCTGATCTATTCTTTTTGTGTGAATAGAGAAGATAATGACTTAGAAATTCTTTTGTATTCTTTTTCCCCCATTTACTGTAACAGAGCAGCATTTCATTTGATTATTTTGGTTTCTTGTCTAACAAGAAACTACAGGTTAAAAAAAGTGTTAGATTCATTCTTTTTTTTTGGCTTTTTGGTTTTGGTTCAAGATTCTCTTCCTAAACTGTGTTATATTGAAAAATAATCAAAAAGATTACTCTTTTGTCTTCCTTCACTTTCGAGTTTCGATTCATTTCATCTTCATCTGTATCTTGATTGCCGTTTCAACTATGTATTTAAGTCAAATTATCATGGTCAATCACATTGATTTAATATTCCAACAAATTTCTGCTCGATCCTCTGAAAAAATCGGTGGAGATTTAAAACCCTAGTTCCAGCTCACGAACTTTGAAGAGAGATTATTTTTATACGAACCCTCTGCCTCTCTACTCTCTAGTGTATACAAGTTTGGGTTTATAAAAAGCCCATTAAGCTTGGTAAAAAAGGCCCGTTAGAATGCTAGATTGCTTGGCGCAACAAGAACCATGCCTAGTCCCCACGCTTCTCCACCTACCAAATGAAATCTAAATGTCTTATAATCAAGTTTATCTATCAAAACCTTTGAAATTTTATTCATTTGAGCCATAATAAGTAAATAACATTATATTCATAAGAAAACGCAATTTTAATAAATGTGAAACCAATTTAAGATATAGCCCGCTGGCTCAAACTACCAAGTATTAATGGTGTTCGGTTGTTGACTACCTGTATGCATAAAAAAATGTACATTAGTACATGCACATAAATTTTGGCCGGTATCTATATTTTACACAGCAGACACTTACAAAATATATTGGGAATAATTACCTGGACAAAATTTAAGATATGAAACATATATGATCATTAAGTAGACGTACAATATTTCATACAAATAACAAATCCAATCAGTGGTAGACCATGTAAAAGTAGTTATACTCAGCTTTGAAACTGTCTTTTGTAGTTGTAGTGTTGTAAAGTCAGTTCCGAATTAATTTTTTATTAGATAGAGTTTTTCATCCAAACAGTAATTGAAATTGAAACAGTTATCTTGATTATTGTCTTTTGATTACTAGTTTATTTTTTTATGTCTTTATATTTTATAGTATAAGTTAGTGTGCTAATTCTTTTTTTTTCTTTGCCAAAATGAATGTGTTATTGTTCAATGGCTCTATGATAATCCGCCATGACAATTAAGACGCTATATTAAGCAAAAAACATGCCACTTTAGAAAACTGTCAATATCCAAATAAAATAGAATTATCACTGACTAAATGTCAATTCTAATTTAATTACAAATGGGATATTTTTTAAAAAATAAAAGAAATTAAAGCGGGAAGAAGAAAAACGGCAGAAGAAGCATGGCCAGAGCCATAGAGGTTGTTCGCTCATCAGCTGATTGCTCATACTCTTCTTCTCTCTTAAATACTCTCTCTTCTCTGCAACTTATCTCCACAACAAAACCACAAACTCTTAACCAAACAAACACAAAAAACAAAGCTCCAATCTTTTCTTTGTCCAACAATCCCGATCCAATGGCTCCAACACTCTCTACCGCCCAATTCGGAGACCCAGCTCAAGTAACCGAGTTCGTGGTCAACAAAGGAAATGGCGTAAAGGGTTTATCAGAAACAGGAATCAAAGCTCTTCCAGATCAATACATTCAGCCATTCGAAGAACGGCTCATAAACAAATTCGTCAACGAGACTGACGAGGCTATTCCGGTCATCGACATGTCGAACCCTGACGAGAGCAGAGTCGCTGAAGCCATCTGTGACGCAGCTGAGAAATGGGGTTTCTTTCAAGTGATCAATCATGGAGTTCCTTTGGAAGTTCTTGACAACGTCAAGGCTGCTACTCACCGATTCTTCAATCTCCCCGTGGAGGAGAAGAGCAAATTCACCAAGGAGAATTCTCTTTCGACCAATGTCAGGTTTGGGACTAGTTTTAGTCCTCGTGCAGAGAAAGCTCTCGAGTGGAAAGATTATCTTAGTCTCTTCTTTGTCTCCGAAGCTGAAGCAACACAGTTTTGGCCTGATGTCTGCAGGTGAGTGTTCTTTTCACAAATTTCAAAAAATCAAACCTTTCTCACTGTTTCAATCAATTGATTCATATTATATAAATTCTTGATTTTTAAAGGAATGAAGCTCTAGAGTACATGAACAAGTCCAAGAAAATGGTGAGGAAGCTTCTAGAGTATTTGGGGAAGAATCTGAATGTGAAAGAGCTGGACGAGACGAAAGAGTCACTCTTCATGGGTTCGATTCGAGTCAACCTCAACTACTATCCGATCTGCCCTAACCCGGACCTGACTGTTGGCGTTGGCCGCCACTCAGACGTCTCTGCCCTCACAATTCTCTTACAAGACCAGATAGGTGGCCTGCACGTGCGTTCTCTGGCTTCAGGGAACTGGGTTCACGTGCCACCGGTTCCTGGATCTTTTGTGATCAACATCGGAGACGCGATGCAGATCATGAGCAACGGTCGGTACAAGAGCGTGGAGCATCGCGTCTTGGCCAACGGTAGCAATAACAGAATCTCTGTTCCCATATTCGTGAATCCAAAACCAGAGTCTGTGATTGGTCCTCTCCCTGAGGTAACCGCAAACGGAGAGGAACCAATATACAGAAACGTTGTCTACTCTGATTACGTCAGGTACTTCTTCAAGAAGGCACATGACGGAAAGAAAACCGTGGATTTCGCCAAGATATGATCATATAATCAGACTTCAAGGAGTTTGAGTTTCTTGTTCTTTTTCTGTTCTGTTTTGTTTCTTGTTTTGTTGTGTGTGTGAGTGAATAAAGAAGAAAGAAGAGATAATATCTGATGTCTTCTTGAGCCTCTGATCAGAATTTTCTGTTGTATAACCTATCATTGATCAATACAGTTTCTATTTTATCAGACTAAAGTGTTACAGAAGCAAGAAATGAAAACCTAACTCTTATTGATAAGATCCTTTGTAGTAGCTTCGGCTCGTAGTAACCTCTTTGATAAGAAGATGCTCTGTTTCACTCTTTGTCATGATTCATGATCATCAACTTTGGGATGTTCTCCATTAACATTGTCAAGGTCATCATTTACTTCGTTGAATTCGAATATCTTTTTCTCCCTGAAGTAATTGATCAAGAAGTACCAACCGATTGCTCCTAGGGTCATTAAACCGGTAACAAGGTACACAATCTTAGTAGCAAAGACAATGATCAGTATCAGAAACCCCGAAGGTACCACGCACATAATCACGAGCCCTGTGAAATTCAGCGGAACTCGGTAAGGTCTCTTTAGCTCAGGTAGCTTCCTTCTTAACCAAATGAATGACGCAAACTCTAGGAACATCCCTAAAGTGTACAAGAAATTCGCAGCGGATATGATGTCTGTGAAGTTCATGTAGGACAATCCAAGGGACATGAGAGCTGAGATTAGAATCCCAACCCAAGGAGTGTTGAACCATTTGGATCTTACCCCAAAGAACTTAGGCAAGAACCCTAGTTCCGCCATACCCTCCAGCTGATAAGCACTGCTGCTTAACTGAGCTTCAAAAAGTCCTATACTTGATAACACAGCGCCGATCTCAATCCAGATTTTCAGCCATTTTCCTGCAATCATCTCGGCTGCTTCTGCGTGAAACCCCGTTTCCCAGTTGCTCTGATCTACTGAGACGGCACCAGTGACAGCGAAAAGAGGAATCAGGTAAGCAACGCAAGTGAAGATGACAGCGATAAGGAGGGCCAAAGGGAATGTCTTTTGAGGGTTATCAACTTCCCCTGCAAGAGTACTGACATTGTCCCAGAAGTTCAAGTTCCAGAAGAGTGTGTTGAAGTAGAGATTCCAATCCCTTTTCTTGTTTCCTAAGCTACCCCAACGGTGAGGTTTGATCTTAGGGATTGCCATAGCCGACATGACAAGGAAAGGCGAGAGAGAAACCAGGCCAAGAACAACAGCTACGTAACCAACGATGGCTAGGCCAGTGTAGTTTAGGAAAGATAAGATCACTGTTGAGGCGAATATGCAGACGTTTCGGGGCCATCCGGATTCAAGAACAGGGAACAGCTTATCCAAGTAAGAGACACAGAGGACAGGAAACGAAGCAACATTGATCACACCACTCAGAAACTTCAACGAACCCATTATAGAGCCTACGAAAGAGCCAAAAGCCCTATGCGCCCATATCACAAACCCACCATTGCCTGAGACAAAACTCACCAAAATTAAGCTAAAGTTTCAGGTTTAGATCTGAAATTAGAACATTAGTTCTTTTGGAAAGTGTAGCAATTTCATCGATTGGAACCAGCTAGTAGCTTCTTTTTACTCATACCAGAAAAAAAGTAGCTTCCTTTTTATCTATCAAGTGGGTTTCAAAGTCAGATGAGATTGAATTCGATGTTCACACCACAACACACAAGTACTGTTTCTAAGCAAATGTCTACACAGATTACATAAAAGTTTAGGCCTTTGTCTGATTGCATTACCTGGAAACGCGGTGGAGAGCTCTGCAGTAATGAGAGCTTCAGGGACACTCCATATGAAAGGGAAGATGAGGAAACCGAGAATCGCGAGAAGCGGTCCAGCCGCTTGAACCGCCGGTTCTTCACCGTAGGGCCCACCGGCGACCTCGAAGTAGATAAGGAAAATCAAAGGGACCAAAGTCAGTTTCTTCGCGGTTGATGCGTTGCGGCTGGAATCAGCGGTTGATAATGGGAGCTCGTGGCTCGATCTCGATGTTTCTGCGATTGCCATTAATGAGTTTCTTTCTCTCTTTCTTTCTGAGAGAAAATGAATGAAATGAATTGGATCGAGTGTCACACCAGATTGATCATGGAATCGAATTGAAAATTCCGTATATATATATAATTGCAAGGATTCAAAAAATAATTTGAGAAACGTGTACGTAATGGGAGTCAGTTGGTCGTATCAGACCGAATCTTTGCTGAAGATTTGGGACCATTCGATCTCGATGTGTTGAATGATAATCCTTTAATTAACTATAAAACATGGGTATAATAATGTCAGTGATTGGCTTTTATAGATCACTTTTCCATATTTTTACTATGATTCTTTTGGCGATAATATAATACTCCATGTTTATCGCTGACTTAGAAAGGAAAGGATTGGTCTTCTTTCCGCCCTACTCCGGTTTGGATTTGTTGTAAATATATTTTATTATATACTTAAAACTTAAAAAAAAAATCAAATCCTCATCAACATGTGCATATATAATTTAATATGTTAGAAAAAGAAAAACAAAAACAATGTTCGATTTCACAAATACTTTATTGTATGCAAATATCACAATTTTCCTTCAATTTGGGCAGTATTGAATGTTTTATTGGACAGCCTACTAGCAACCCATCAAGTCGATATAAAAAAAAAGACAAGTGGGTCGCCCAAACGCATCATGAAAAAACATTACTCTACATTTTAAGGTAGGGGCGGTTTTGGTTCAGTCTCTCTCTATTATTATTTTTTTTTATAAAAAAAAACATGTTCAATTTCGTAATGGCCACCTATCTGGCGGACCATCAAGTGTATGGCTCATTCTCCACAGTCACTACTCAGTGGAATGAATCTCTTCATCGGTAAGTCTTTGAATGTTTACACTATTTTTTTTTAAATGAATGTTAAATTATATTCACCCCCAAAGAGACATGTTTACATCAAAAATGCAAACAGATCATTTTTTTTTTAATAAGAAAACAAGGTTTGACTACTTAGTTTATTGAGTTTATTGGTCACGAGAAGCAAATAAGTGAGAACAGCCGTCTCGTATCGTAGGTCGATTGATCGAATGGAGCTGACTCTGTTGCTTACGGTTTTGTTCGATGATCATTGCAAGACGATGAGCTGATCTGGAGATGGCTTTCCATGCTTTGTCCGTTCCTCTCCTTCCAGATGTGGGAGATTCCCAAAGAAGCTTGAAAAACATATCTTATTAGGAACTTCTCTATCATTAACGTACGCACCCGGAGTAACATAAAACAAAAAAAAAATAAAACGGATGATTTTTCCACAACCTAACGAAGTATTATATTTTTAGCCGTAGCTACCTCAGATGATCGAGCTCAAATGAAATTTAAATTTAATTTAATGAAAAGCATTTTACTTTTTCATATACGAAAAATCAAAACTAACTTTAGTTCCGAACTACTTGTTTTTTCAAACTTTAGGAAAACAGTCTAAAGTTAAAACTCTCTTGACTTAACGTACAATATTTTTCTTTTCTTCCTTTTTTGGATGATTAGATCGATAGATAACAAAATAAGAATATTAGCTCTTTTCCCCGGCCAGCAAATGCGACTTATGGCGCAAATAAAATTCCAAAATATTGATTCCGCCCATGTTTTTGTGGCAAAATATATTAAAATACATACATAAGTCAATCTACGTACGTTTTGTCTCTTCAGTCTATATATATATATATATATATATAGTATACACCATCAACGAGAAATCACATTCAACACACATGGCAAATCCCATCATCATCATCGCCTTCCAAATCCTCCTCCTTGCAGCCGCTGTCTCCGCAAGAAAAGGCGAAGACTTTGCAAAAACCATTGACCGGAAACTCCTCGGCCTCCGGAAAGAGAAACTCACTTTTTTCCGAGTCTATTGGCACGACATTCAAAGCGGCTCGAACCCTAGCTCGGTCGTGCTCCGACCTCCTCTCTCCAACTCTTCCTTCTTTGGAGCGGTCACTGTGATCGACAACCGGCTAACTACAGAGGTCCGGGTCAACTCGACATTGGTAGGCCAGGCTCAAGGGATCTACGCTGCTGTTGGTCAACGCGATGCGTCTGCGCTTATGGTGATGAACTTTGCGTTCACGACAGGGAAGTATAACGGGAGTACGATCTCGATTCTTGGTCGGAACGCTGTGTTTACTAAGGTTAGAGAGATGCCGGTGATTGGAGGAAGTGGACTCTTCCGGTTCGCAAGAGGTTATGTTGAGGCTAGAACCATGTGGTTGGATCAAAAGACAGGAGATGCTACTGTTGAGTACAGCTGCTACGTCTTGCATTATTGACGATAATGATGATTGTATCTCTCTTAGTTTCTTTATTTAGTTTGCTATGTTTCGGGGTATGTTGTCTTGTGTCGGTTTGACCCATGGATGACTCTTGCGAGGGTAATTATGTCTATTTCATTATTTGACACATTTTTGTATCAACGAGAAGTCAAATAAATCGTGTCAACAAACAAAAGAAATCTACCAGTTGCATCATGCCACGTTTTCTGTAGGTCAACTATAACTCGACTAAATAACTTAGTTTTGAATAATGAGTAATAACGTTTTAACGTATTTTCGGGTTCGAATTCAATCACCCGCTAAGAAAAGAAACGAGAAAATATTCCACAAAAAAAAAAATATATTCCAACTTTTTTTGAGGGGTAAAATATTCCAACTTGTTCATAAGTGGTTTTTCGTTTGTATTTTAGATTGTAAGCTTTAAGTATTGCAATATTTTTGTAAATTAGCTCCTTCACCGTAAATCATACGTCTTGCTAACGCAAATGCCGTAAATAAAATGATGTACAATAGCTAGTTTATGGGGAAATTTGATATTTCATTTTATTTTTAAAAGTGGAAAAGTATAAGTAGCTAATACATATAGAGAATACAATCATTTTTCTTCCTTTTCACACTCGTGACCACATCTATATATATGAACTACTTATTTTATATAGCACAGACCTTCATCTATATATACTACCAAATACCAACAGGAACTATCAACAAGATATAAACACAGATTAGAAGAAAAAAACATGCCAAAGCTCATCCTTATCCTCGCCACACAAATCCTTCTCCTCACCACCGTTTCCTCTACCGGAGACTATGCAAGAACAGTGAACCAGAAACGCCTCCTCAAGAAAGAGAAGCTCACACATCTCCGAGTCTACTGGCATGACATCATAAGCGGTAAAAACCCTAGCTCAATCATGATCCAACCGTGGGTTTCAAACTCCTCAACCGCCTTCGGATCAATCTCAATGATGGACAACGCACTAACATCTGATGTGCCGATTAACTCTACTGTGGTGGGTCAGGCCCAAGGTTTCTACGCAGGAGCGGCCCAACGTGAGCTAGGTTTCTTGATGGCGATGACTTTCGCTTTCAAGACAGGTAAGTACAATGGGAGTACGATCACGATTCTTGGTCGGAACACGGTGTTCTCGAAGGTTCGGGAAATGCCGGTCGTCGGAGGAAGTGGAATCTTTCGGTTCGCTAGAGGGTATGTCGAGGCTAGGACTAAGTGGTTCGATCAAAAGTCAGGAGATGCCACTGTTGAGTATAATTGTTATGTCTTCCATTACTAATATAATTATAGTCAAGATATACAATGTCCTCTCTGTAATGTTTACTTGATTATGTAAGTACATTAGAGAGAGGCTTTTTTATTAATTTCACTGAGCTCACATACGTATTGTATCGGTTTGGATCCAAATTTGATCTATAAGAAAATAGTTTGGTTGAATTTACTTGGTTATAAACGAATAAGAATCATTTGTGTAAATTTAGTGGATATACATTATACAAGAGCGGCTCAACAGTAATAAACAAAATTATGGGTCATGTTCGATATATATAAGAATATGTGAAGCATATTTTTTTTTTTTTTTTTTTTTGCTAATAAATTTAAAATACAAAAAAGATTGGCTTCGCCCGGGTTGGAACCGGAATGTGAACCATAGTTACATGTTAATAAAATTAAAAATATTTTGGATTCTAAACTTTACCAATTTTGTTGTTAGTTTAACACAGATCAACAAAAGCATATGTTGCACATGCATGTACACATTATTATGAAATCAAGTAGAAAGGTACCACCACAAAAAAAAAAGGTGAACACGAGCCAAAAAAATAAAAGTGAACACTCTGCTAAAAGGTACCACCACCCAAAAATAAGGTGAAAAGTCGAGAGAAATTTCTTTTTTTTGGTAGTTGGAGAGAACTTTTTTCTTTCTGAAAATCAAAACGTTCCGTATGAGGAGGATTAAAGAAAGAAATCACGCTTAGAAAATCTTAAAAATTCGTCGTAAAAATTGGTCTTGTTTTGGATTCTAAAACGGTTTTGGCAAAACCTTAGCCTTTGGCTTTGGTTAGTGGCCTTCTTCTCGAAGAAGGTACATAGAGATATGATGGACTCTCAAAGTAATGTGGCTGAAGAATGTTACTGAATTTTTTGATCTCACATGTATAATAATTTTTGTGAGATTCGGCTTTTACTTTTACTGCTAAAATATTCAAACCACCAGTCATTTGTGTAGAAATGCCCCATTAATAAAGCGAAATGGGTCCATACATGTCTGTATTTCACCACTTTCGTAAGCTTTTTCGGGAAACGAGATATGGTCGTCCTTTTTTTTGTTGTCGTCGTCCTAAAGTCACTTTAGTAGTATTTAACACGTTTTTTTTTCTAACAAGAACATTTGTTCAAAATAATAATAATAAGTTAATAACCATAGTTAACGTATTGAACAAATAATAACAAGGTGGCTGAAGTATATTATCGTCTTTCACATACCTCTGTCTATTAGCCAAATCAACAATGAGCGATATTTTGTCATTCATATATCAATGAAATGAGACGTTAAACAAAATTATATTGATTCCACTTTTTATTAACCTAGGTGATAGACCTCGGCACTGGATTTGAGAGACATAGTATCATTTTATAATGTAAGGATTTAGATAACGTAACCGTCTGACATCACATTCGAGCCCAATTAATCCAAAAAATATCCTGGCTAGCCAAGAAAGACAGACCACCAGATATACAACTAAATTGAACCCTAATTAATATTATCAGAGTTGTTCTAGATGGGAGTGCATGGAACTGAGATGTAGCTTTCACGTCTTGCCCTAAGCCTAACTATCACTAGACTATACTGACGCACATTTTTGATTCAGATTTAGGTGTCATCGGTATTTTTTTTTTTACTAGCCATCTATTAATGTCGACGATATAGAGTAATTCTTTTACTGTTTTTCATCAGCTAGCACATTTGAATAGAGTACTATAGATTATTCTAATCATACCCGACCCTATGCTAATTAACCCCAACAAACTAAGGCTTTAGGGGTGCAAATTGTAGATAACCTCGTGATGTTTCGTAGTCAAGTATATCTTTAAATGAATTTTCTAGAGGGTAAATATATCAAATTATAGAAATAGTAAAGAACAACTCAAATATCTAGATTGTATAGAGTTAGACTCCTAGAAACGATTGACAAAAAAAAACGACTTCAACCTATAATTGTTTTGTAATAATGTACAAAAATGTATTATAGCTACTATCCAGTTTTTCAGACAAATATACGAACTACGAACTATACTAAACTGGTCTCCTATTGCAATAAAAGAATAAAAAACCAACAAATTTCAACCTTGTGATTTTTAACTGATGATGCGAAGGTACCCCAGATTGTCTTCCACGAAATCGTTTATTTGCATTTGTGTTTACGCCCATGAGATTATGTATTTAATCGAAACTCCATCGCATTTGGATTTGTATTGTAATTTTTTGTTTTTTCGGTAATGAAATCACAACAGTATTTTTTAAATCAGAACCCTGTTGGACTGCTCTACTTGCACGTGTTAAAAGACACCTTGTATTGTAAATGTATAACTTTTAGACCATTTCCAACCATGGTTTCTAATGAGAGAATTTAATCTTATTTTTAATAGTTTTTTGTTCATTTTAATGTTTTAAAACTTTTTATAGATTTTTTTATTGTTTTAGTATCCAATGATAGGATCTAACGAGAAGCTCTAAATTTTTTTTTTTAAAATACAAACATTTTAATAATACAAATTATTGATTTATGCGACTTGCTTTTGGCCGATGTTAGTTTTCCTTACTCGCCACTAGTCAAAAGATAAATGTGCATGGAATAACAATACTGACAGTATTAGCGTACAGTACATCCACTGCTTTCATATACTTCAGAAACAATCCAACAAATCTCAATTATTGTAATTCTAACGTCTAACCACAAGTTTATATTAAGTTTAAGACTCAGATGCGCGTTAAGAGTGCTTTCTCATTAGTTAATGAATGTACAAAACTACAGATGAATTTTAAATTACAAGTGCTATTTATTAGACTATAACTAACACTCTTAACAAATTAACTTATATAACCAACTAGCTCATTCTAGCAAACGACTACTAACTAAATAGGATAAAAATCTCAAATAGAACACTCTCACGTCATCTTCTTCTTCTTCTTCCATATATACACACACACACACACAACCTCGTTGAACACAACACAACACTTCATTAATATACATTAAATACCACAAAAGATGACAAAGCTCATCCTAATCCTCGCCGCACAAATCCTCCTCCTCGCTGCCCTTGCTTCCGCCGGAGACGATGGAGACTTCGCAAGAACCATTAACCAAAAACATCTCGGCCTCCACAAAGAAGAGAAACTCACCCATCTCCGAGTCTATTGGCACGACTCTGTAAAAGGTCGAAACCCTAGCGCCGTCATGATCAAACAGCCTGTCTCGAACTCTCCCTCATTCGGGTCGATCACCATGATGGACGATCCATTAACAACAGATGTGCCAAGGAATTCGACTGTGGTGGGCCAGGCCCAAGGTTTCTATGCAGGAGCAGTCCAAGGAGAGATTGGTTTCTTGATGGCGATGAATTTCGTTTTCAAGACAGGGAAGTACAATGGGAGTACGATCTCGATTCTTGGTCGGAACACGATTTACTCGAAGGTTAGGGAAATGCCGGTGGTTGGTGGAAGTGGAATCTTCCGGTTCGCTAGAGGCTATGTCGAGGCTCGCACCAAGTTCTTCGATTTCAAGTCCGGTGTTGCCATAGTTGAGTACAACTGTTACATTTTGCACTACTGATATAATTATGTTTGTAATGTTTTATTGATTTCATTACTTAAAGTAACACTTGTATTTAACGAGTGTTGATGTTGTGTTAATTGGGGTTTGTTGCATGTCCGGTTGTGTGTGGTCTGATCGTTGTGGGGGCTCGTTATTCGGGTTATAGTGGAATAAAGGCTCTCTATTCCGTGTTAAAAGATTTGAAAATTCATTAATTGATTAGTAATCTACATAATTTAAGTTTTGTGATATTAAACAAATTGAATGATGCCAATAACTAGCTTATCAAACCTGATATCATTAAAAAAATGTCGTCTTTTTTTTTAACAATCTTTTAATTTGTCCTTTTTCTAATGGGGTTAATACACACAGACAATACCTTTTCATGAAAAATGATGGTTTTCCCAATAAAAAAAAGCTCAAGATCTAAAAGATCTTTGATTTTTAATACCAGAGGTTAAAAGACTTTATCCAAACTCATGCCTATACTTTGGCTTGACATAGAAAATGATTCAAAATAGCAATATATAGTCATAGTTTTTCCGGTTAAAGCCGGTTGTAGTCATGTAGTGGGCTTAAATGATCATCATCATGTTCATGCTTTTACTTTTTTAGTAAATACAAATACGTACTTTTCTACGAAACATAATATATGATCTTTGACTTTAAGAGAGAGAAAAGAGATTATAGACTTTACTACGAAAAAGTGGAAACTACGAGAATTATTCTCTCTTGAGGAGATCATCCTGATTTTAGGGATACGCCCGAGTTAAGCCTACTCGAGAAATGGATACAGTTGGATCTTTACTAAATCCGGAAACTATACCGTTAAATCCGGATATTGGAACGCGAGAACCTTATCTCGTCTGTCTTGTGACCTCCCTGTTCAGGGTCCAAACCTTTCGGTTTTAAAGGCACAAGCATGGAAATTAAAAACCACACGGAAAATCAAACATTTCGTGTGGCAATGTGTTAATGGCAGTGTTCCTACTTGTCAACGTTTATTTTCGCGCCACGTTAGTCGTGACAAGGGATGCCCGAGATGTGGAGCGGAGGAGGAGACGATAAACCATGTGCTTTTCGAATGTCCCTCGGCGAAGCAAGTTTGGGCCCTTTCAACGATCCCCTCGGCCCCCGATGTTTTTCCCATGCCTTCCATTTTCGGTAACCTAGACTATTTATTTTGGAGAGCTCAAGATTCTGGGCTCAGTGTAGAGCATCTTCGGATTTTCCCATGGGTCTTGTGGTTCTTGTGGAAAGCACGGAATAAAAAGGTTTTCGAAAATGTGGATGAGCTCCCGCCTAACATTCTCGAGCATGCTAAGGCGGAGGAGATAACTTGGAGGAGAGCAAATGAAGAGGATGCCGTTGTGACCAGCCCAAAGTGGAATCTATACCAAACTATATTCCAATCACCGAGGATCCCATATGCTATGTCGACGGATCATGGCTGGAATTAGCGACTGTAAGTGGACTTGGCTGGGAAGTTATTTCGGGAAGGAACTCTATTCTCTCAGGATTAAGAGGCACGGCTCGATGCTTATCACCCCTTCACACAGAGTTGGACGCGCTGATCTGGGCCATGAAATGTATTCTCTCATCTCACATTGTCTGCGAGACTTTCTACACAGACTGCTCTGACCTGATCTCGATGACTTCAAACCCTTCGGAATGGCCTACCTTTGCAGCGGAATTACAAGATTTTAGGACTTTATCACTGAGTTTCAGATCTTTTAGCTTGTACCATGTTCCTCGATCTTGCAATATCCGTGCCGATAAGTTAGCGAAAGCCGCTAGGGCACGTGGAATTAGATTCTCCCATGTAAGCATCGCGGCTCCGGTTTGGCTATCTTCCGAGGATAGTCTCTTGCCGCATTCATAATAAAATGGTGTTTTAGTCGAAAAAAAGAGAGAGAAAAGAGAGAATTCACGTCTAAATAACAGTATAGAGACGAAAGTTTCAAGTTTGGGCGTACCAAAAAAAAAGTTTCAAGTTTGGGTTCAATTGGGAAACTGGAAAGACAATAACGAGTGATTGGGTTGTATGCAAGGAGGTATATTTATCTATGTATGTTTAATGAGGATGTTGTACACTTGTATGCAAGGAAGCCCCATTTGATTCATCACTTTCGTAAGCTTTTTTGGGAAACGAGTTATAGTCCTAAAGTCATCCTTTTTTGTCGTCGTCCTAAAGTCACTTGAGTATTTAACACATGTGTTTTTTTTACTAACAAGAATATTTGTTCAAATTAATAATAACAAGGTGACTGAAGTAAACATCATCATCGTCTTTCACATAACTCTTTCTATTAGCCAAATCAATAATGAGCGATACTTTGTCATTCATAATATCCATGAGATGTGTGTTTTCAACAAAAAAAAATGTTGATTCAATTTTTTTTATTAACCTAATTATGTGATAGATCTCGGCACTGGATTTGAGAGACAGAGATTCATTTTATATTGTTAGAATTTAGATAACGATGACCGTGTAAGTTGTAACGTCACATTCGAGCCCGATTAATCCCAAAAATAAACTGGTTAGCCGAGAAAGTCAGTCCACTGTCCACCAGATATACAACTAAATTAAACACTAATTATCAGGTCACTCAAGCATAGTGAAGTTGTTCTAGATGGGAGTGCATGCATGGAGCTGAGATTTAGCTTTCACGTCTTGTCCTAAGCCAAACTATCACTAGACTATACTGAGGCACATATATATATATATGATTCAGATTTAGGTGTCATCGATATCTTTTTAAACTAGCCATCTATCAATGTCGATATAGAGTACTTCTTTACTGTTTTTCATCAGCAAATTTTCGTAAATGGAGTACCACAGATTATTATAATCATGATTCATGTCCGACCCTATGCTAAACCCCAACAAACTAAGGCGTCGATCAGGGGTGCAAATTGTAGATAAGTGGTATTTCATATTCACATATACCTGATAATAATTTTCTAGAGAGTAAATGTATCAAATTATTAAAATGGTAAAGGCGTAAAGAACAAAACTAAAAATATCTAGAAAATAAAGTTAGACTTCAAGAGATGAAACCTAACATTGTTTTGGTGAATAATATTATAGCTAGTATCCAGTTTTCCGAGAAGGATACGAACTACGAACTATACTAAATTGGTCTCATATTTCAAGATAATAATAAAAAACCCCAGCAAATTTTAACCGTATGATTTTTAACTGATGATGCGAAGGGATAAACCCCAATTTGTCTTCCACGCACACAGTTGTTTAATCGCACTTTGTTTCCAATTAACACACATAATTATTAGTTAAAGAATGAACACACATAATATTAAGTGTTTATTCTAAACTCAATCGCATTTGGATTTTCTCGTTAAAGGAATTGTATTGTAAACAGTATAATTTTAGAATATTAGTTTCCTCACGGTGAATCGTACGACTAATGGTGTAATTTTTTTCCAATAGTACGAACTAGCGTACATCAATTGCTTTTATATACTTTAGAAACAATCCAACAAATCTCAATTATTGTGATTCTAACGTCTAACCACATGTGTATCTTAGTTTAAGAGGGAGAGAGATACGCGTTTTAAGAGTGTTTTCTCATTAGTATGAATGTACAAACTTACAAATAATTTTAATATACAAGTGCGAATTATCAAACTACTACTGTATTTCACTAACTAACACTCTTAACAAATTAGATTATATAACCACCTCAATCTAGCAAACGACAACTAATAAAACACACCAATTTTGTTTTTTTTATAGGATACAAAATCTTAAATAGCACACTCACTGACTAACACGTCTGCTTCTTCTAATCTTCTATATTTACGCACACACAACCTCGTTGAACAAAACACAACACTTCATCAATACACATAAAATATCACAAAACATGACAAAGCTCATCCTTATCCTCGCCGCACAAATCCTCCTCCTCGCCGCCCTTGCTTCCGCCGGAGACGATGGAGACTTCGCAAGAACCATTAACCAAAAACATCTCGGCCTCCACAAAGAAGAGAAACTCACCCATTTCCGAGTTTATTGGCACAACTCGGTAAAAGGTCGAAACCCTAGCGCCGTCATGATCCAACAGCCTGTCTCGAACTCCTCTTTGTTCGGGTCGATCACCATGATGGACGATCCATTAACAACAGATGTGCCAAGGAATTCGACTGTGGTGGGCCAGGCCCAAGGTTTCTATGCAGGAGCGGTGCAAGGAGAGATAGGCTTCTTGATGGCGATGAATTTCGTTTTCAAGACAGGGAAGTACAATGGGAGTACGATCGCGATTCTTGGTCGGAACACGATTTACTCGAAGGTTAGGGAAATGCCGGTGGTCGGGGGAAGTGGAATCTTCCGGTTCGCTAGAGGCTATGTCGAGGCTCGCACCAAGTTCTTCGATTTCAAGTCCGGTGTTGCCATAGTTGAGTACAATTGTTACGTCTTGCACTACTGATATAATTATGTTTGTAAATGTTTTATTGTGATTTTATTACTTACGTAACATTTGTATTTGACTGAGTGTTGTTGTTAATCGTGGTTTGTTTGTTTGTTTGTTTTTTTTTTTTTTTGAAACCTTTAATTGTGGTTTGTTGCATGTCCTGTTTGTGTGGTCTGATCACGATCGTTGATGGGGTTTGTTGTTCGGGTTATATTAATATATCGTAATAGTTTGATTTTATATATACAAAATAAAAAGTCGTCGTTTATACATAAAACTGACCAATTGGGTCAAATTAAGTGGCATAAAGACTCTCTATTCCGTGCTAAAAGATTTGAAAAATCATTAATTGATTAGTAATCTACATAATTAAGTTTGTGATATGAAACAAAAAATGAATGATTAAGGCTTTAAGCCAATAACTAGCTAATCAAACCTTACACCATTAATTAAAATTTGTCGTCTTCTTTTTTTTTTTAATGAAGAAACAATCTTTTAATTTGTTTTTTAATGGGATATTATATATACATTAACCTTTGCATGAAAAATGATGGTTTTCTCCATAAAAAAAGCTCTAGATCCAGAAGGTCTTAATTGACTTAAGCCAATCTCATGCCTCTACTTTAGTTTGGAAAAGAAAATTATTCAAAATAGTAAATATATATTCATAGTTATTTTTTGTTAAAGAAATCATAGTGAGAAAAGTAACCTCATTTTCTTCATTAACAAAATCGTGTGAACGGTTTGTTTCCATTAATCGCAGGTCACGGGCCCGTCGTGTGGTTCATTCGCATTACTAGAGTCCGCGCTTCGCGCGGATTTTATTTTATATTTTTATGTATTTTATATTTTTATATGTTTTTTTTTTAAAAATAATCTGTTGGATAAATTTTTTATAGTTTAATAGTTTTTTTTCTATATTTGCATTGTACAATCCTTATTAGTGTTTGTATATAATAACAAATTTTCTTAATTATGTTATTAATTTCTGTTAATTTTTTTTATTTCATGTACTTTTATATATTGTCTCTCACTATTGTGTGATTTTTATTACAGTATTAAATTTTTTTTTTTTTGTTAATGCTCTACACGTTGCGCAGTAATAATTTTTAATCATTTATTTTTACCTTTTTTTGAAATTTAAACATCATATTTATCCATTTTTGTTAATTTTTTTCTTCTTCTTCATTTTTATATTTTCATATTTTGATATCTTTATCTTCTGTTCTCTTTCTTTGTTTTCATATTTTTCAAAATTCTTTTTCATCAGTTTTGTGTTCTTTTTTTTATTATTCATATTCCTCTTCATGGTCTTTAATTTCTATTCGTTTTCATCTTTTTAATATCTTCTGTTTTTGTATTTTGATTTTTCTTCTTCCTTCTATTTTTTTTTATTATTTTTCATTATTTTTGCTTTTTTTTAATTATCATCATTTTAAAACATTTTTTCAATTTAATAATTTATTATTTTTAAAAATATATATATATTTAATCCAGTTAGTATTACAATGTTTTTAATTATTAATATCTAATTATCACTTATTTTTTATTTATACTATAATTTTTTTAATTTAATTTAATTTATACTAAATATATTAATAACAAACATTAATATATTTATTAAATGCATACTTTAAATATACTTAAATGTTAAGTTTTATGAGTTTGCTGATGTGGATAATAGAGAAAACTCTCTCATTATATAATAGATTATTTGTTCTTAATTTCCATTTTTTTCTAATTACAGTATTATTTTTTATTTAAACATTAGGAAATTTATTTAATTTTTCCGTTTTTGTTTCTTTCACGAAAAACGTGAAAAAGCTTCACAAATAGCTGACGTGGCATAAATACCGCCTTTTTTCCATCAACTCTCTCTCCATTTTGGGGATTTTCATCCATAACTTTTCTTCATCGCAACCGAACCGGCGAACCCTAATTGCCCAAATCAAATTTCTCATCGGAAAATCGATCTCTGATTATATTTCTCATCGCTCTCCAAATCCGACATGAGCCAGACCGTCGTTCTTGGAGGACTATAATGATCGGACTATTAGAGTCCCGTCTCGATTGCATGGGGTTTGAGCTATGCCTGAGCTTCGCCGTGGAGTCCGCCGTGGCCGTGGTACTGATTCTGTAGCTTTGAATCAGCTTGCCCAAAAGCCCACAGACAAGAAACAGAGGAAGAGTACCGGTAAAACCCGGAAAACGGTTCCCGTCGGCGTTACAGAAGCCGCCGAGAGGCCAAGGACGAGATTGGCGGCGAGAAAATTGAAGGAGGAAGATAAGGTTATCCCTAAGGAGACTCCGGTTGTCGTACTTTCCAAGGGTAACGATATCGATAAGAAGAAAGGTAAAGAGGTAGTCGGTGAAGAAGAGAAGAAAGTTATGGCAATTGGTAACGATAGTGGTGGCTCTAACAAGGCGGCTGCGCAGGAAGAAGAAGGAAATACTGCACCTTTCCCTGAGAGGGTAATTTTTCTCTCTGATTTATTTGTTTGATTGTTTTTCAATTTGAGAATCGTATATTGCCGGAGGTTAACAATGTAGAGCTTTGGTGTAATGTTTTCCTTGCCTTTTGTTTATGCCCATCGAGCTTTTGCTGTTCTATTTTGGCTGGTTTGGGGCTACTGGACTTCGCAAGAGGGTTTTTTTGTTCGATCTAATTGTAGACTTACTTTCCCTCTTTCCATGTTAATGACTAACGATCCTATCTCTTATCAGGTCCAAGTTGGAGGATCACCACTATATAAGGTTGAGAGAAAGCTGGGGAAGGGTGGTTTTGGACAAGTATTCGTGGGACGTCGTATTAGCGCTGGTAATGAACGTAGTGCAGGAGCTAGCATCTTGGAGGTAATGTAACTCAGTCTACCTTACTACTGAGGTGGATTGTCACCACAAGGATCCTGTTACTAGTGTAATCGTGTTAACATTGTCTCACATCTCCAATTTCTTTTACAGGTTGCTCTTAAGTTTGAGCACCGAAGCAGCAAGGGTTGCAACTATGGCCCTCCACATGAGTGGCAGGTGTACAAGTGGGTGTTCGATTCTCTCATCTTTCTTGCTATGTTTATAAAATTCATTTACCGGCGCTTTTAGGTGCTTCCTTGAGTTAAAATGTGAAACCAGCATTTCCTTTTATTGTGAACAGCACCTTGGGTGGCAGCCATGGAGTCCCTAGAGTACATTTCAAAGGGAGGCAAGGAGACTATTATGTTATGGTATTGGATCCCCCCTTTCACTTTTCTCCTTTCTGATTTTCTCCTGCTAGTATCATTTATGGTAGATTCTATTTATTGGCATCAGGTTATGGACATGCTCGGGCCGAGCTTATGGGATATTTGGAATACTTCAGGGCAAGCGTGAGTCTCCATTACACAACCTTGGAAAATTCTTGTCTTTTCATAAATAATTAATTTACTTTTCTCATACATGAAGATCCAAAATTTATTTGGTGTCTCTCGGAACTGTGACATGAATTTGTTGTTGTTCCCTGTTTTAAATAATGAGACTTGGTACATCAATCCATACTGAGTAAACTTAGCTTTTATAAATCCAGGACTGATTGACAAGTGACTGTTCTAACGATTCTTCTCACTTTCTCTTAGCAGAATGTCCTCGGAAATGGTAGCTTGCATTGCAGTTGAATCACTGTCCATCCTTGAAAAGATGCATGCAAAAGGGTTTGTATTGATTTGTTTCTTTTGTAATTTTCTTGGTGGACTGAGGGTCCTTCCCATATCTGTTTTGAGCTTGGGGACCTCTAAGTTCTTATGTTTTCTCTCTGTTAACTAGCCTAACAAGTCATGATTTGCTTTGGTTTCAGCTATGTGCATGGAGATGTTAAGCCAGAAAATTTCTTACTCGGCCAGCCTTCAACGTCTCAAGAGAAAAAGTTGTTTCTTGTTGATTTGGGACTAGGTTGGTTAATTTTACTTTCTCTGTGATTTTTCATAGGACTTTTGTCACTTTTCTCACATTTAACGAACTTTTCAGCAACAAAGTGGAGAGAAGGTGGTAGCGGACAACATGTTGAGTATGATCAACGTCCCGATATGTTTAGGTAATAATTTTTCAACTGTTAATTCTGATTTTTGTATTCGCTGTTACTCTTTTCTTGAATCTTCCTCTCCTTTTATTTTTGTAGGGGGACAGTTAGATACGCAAGTGCACACGCTCACTTGGGGAGAACTGCTAGCAGAAGGGATGATCTTGAATCATTGGCATATACACTGATCTTCCTCCACCGAGGTAGACTGCCATGGCAAGGATATCAGGTACTGCAGACCTATCTTTTTGTTTGTAGAATGATGTTGTTAGCATGCTTCCTTCTCTGCTAATTCTTCTCCTGCTCAATTTTCAGGGAGATAACAAGTCATTCTTAGTTTGCAAGAAGAAGATGGCAACATCGCCGGATATGCTTTGTTGTTTCTGTCCACCTCCTTTCAAGCAATTTCTTGAGATTGTGGTAAATATGAAATTTGATGAGGAACCCAACTATGGTAAGTTAGTATCTTTGTTTCAAGACCTTTTGGGGGAAAATCCGGCAATTAGGCCTATAAACACAGAGGGTGCTCAAAAGGTGACGCTTTCATGCTTGTCATCCTTGCTTTTCTTTCCTATTAAGTAGTCATCTTGTAGTTGTTGTCTGACCCTTGTATTTGTTTTTTTTTTTTTTTTGTGCTAGATCATTTTTCAAGTTGGACAGAAGCGAGGTAGGTTGAGCATTGGGGAAGAAGAAGAAGATGCTCCTAGGAAAAAAGTCCGTTTAGGAGTCCCTGCAACACAATGGATATCAATTTACAATGCCAGGCAACCGATGAAGCAGAGGTAAAAAAGTTCATGGTTAATTATACAGTTAATGTACTTGACCTGTCCACTGCCTCCAGTTGGAAGTCAGATTTCTGACTGGGACTGCGTTTGTGTCTCAAGTGGCTTGTTGGTTTATGGACTTCGATTATGTGTCTATAGTGAGAAAATTTTGGACTGACAATCTTCTTGTACAACCAGGTATCATTATAATGTGGCAGATATAAGGCTGGCACAGCATATTGAGAGAGGTATCGCAGATGGTTTGTTAATAAGCTGTGTATCATCATGTTCGAATCTATGGGCATTAATAATGGATGCCGGAACTGGCTTTACAAACCAAGTCTACGAACTCTCTCCTGTCTTCTTGCATAAGGTGATCCAATGGTTCCCTGTCAATTTTCTTTAGGTCCGTGTTCTGTCAAGATGATCTTATATGAAAGTAAACTTTGTTCTGTTTCAGGAATGGATAATGGAACAGTGGGAGAAGAATTACTACATAAGTTCTATTGCTGGTGCAAACAACGGAAGCTCCTTAGTTGTCATGTCAAAAGGTATATATGCTTTCATGAAAACTTTTATATGCTTTCTTCATGAATTGTATAATTATTAACTAGTCTCCGAATTTGTGGATTTTTGTCTATAACCATGGCTGGCTCTTTAGCATGCAAATCATTGCTCTTTAGCATGCAAATCATTTATGGCTTATTCTATAATTTGTTTTAAATTTGGTTTTGAAGGCACTCAGTATACCCAGCAGTCTTACAAAGTTAGCGATTCATTCCCGTTCAAGTGGATAAACAAGAAGTGGAAAGAAGGCTTCCATGTAACCTCAATGGCAACAGCTGGAAGCCGATGGGGCGTTGTTATGTCCCGCAATTCTGGCTATAGTGAGCAGGTTAGACTTCACCGATTTCAATGGTTTTCTTATGATGGCTTTCTTCCTCTTCCTCTTTGGATTTTTCGTGATTTCTAAATTCTTCTCCATTGTCTGCTTACCTCTCTCTACAGGTTGTGGAACTTGATTTTCTGTATCCGAGTGAAGGCATCCACAGGCGTTGGGATGGTGGATTCAGAATCACATCAACAGCAGCAACAACCGATCAAGCTGCTCTAATTCTAAGCATCCCACGGCGTAGACTGGTCGATGAGACACAAGAGACGTTGCGTACCTCTCAATTCCCCAGCACGCATGTCAAGGTGAGTAGAGTAGCTCATTTCATCTTAAAGATAACTAATATCTGAGTTATTTTCTCCCTTCCCATCAATACCTGAGATCTTGTGCATTGTTTTGCCTTTCGTTGTACAGGAAAAATGGGGAAAGAATCTCTACCTCGCTTCGTTAAGCTATGGCCGAACTGTATCTTGAAACTTATTAGTAAAAATGTTGGAGGACGAGAGAACGATGCTTCTCAGTCTCTGCTCGTAGTCCTTATCCAACCCTCTTGCCTCTCAGGCTCTGTTGTGGTATTTTTTTTTGGTTTTCCGTTGAATTGTGAAGCAAAAATATGGTGATTGTGTTGTTTTCTACACTTCAATTGTGAAGTAGCGAGGCATAATCACCAATTTAGCTTCACATTTCCTTCTACACTGCTATTTAATTTTATATCAAGAAGAGATATATTTGTTACCAATTATATAACAACTTCTTTGGTTGTCCAGTAGTGTAACCGAATTATCGAATTCACAACAAAGTAGGCTTTACGTATTCTTCATTGTTCTCTCCATACACGACCTGATATCTTCAACTTCAGTTCCTTGCTGTTGTTGTTGTCGGTAGAGATGATCAAAGCTAACTTCCGAGTGATGATTAAGCCGTCTTGACTATCACGAACCGTTTTGTGACTCTCACGTAAGCTTCTAGGCACGCCTTGCCATGCCAGCTTTCTGCCATTGCCACTGACCTCCAATGTGTAGCTGAATCTCATTGCTTCTTGTTCATCTCCCATAAACTGCACGAAGGCTATGTACATTGGGGTTTTTCTCATGTGAAATGCTGCGAAGTATAAGCAGAATTGTCGACCGAAACAGTCTAGAAGCTGCAGCCAATGTTTTGTGAGAAGGGGAGAGAAAATTAACAAATTTGCAGCACCAGGGCAAGAGAAAAAGATAGTGTAAAGTAAAAAACAACTTACAGTTAACATCCAAGTCGCATGATGAAGATGTTTAGGATTATGATGAACATATCTATGACTGAAACTACGCCCATCATGCATTTCAACATGATGATCATTCCTTAGATGCAGAAGCAGCCACTGAATATCTCCTGTGACATTACACTTGGATCCGGAATAGGGACAATTGTACGGCCTCTTCTTAGGGTTCTCAACGTTGAGCTCTTCGGTTTTGTCATTGGGACACTGTAGTAAGAAGATCTGTGTTATGCACTTGTCTTCTTATCATTCTAGTATACCTATATGATATGATATATACATACCTGGTAGGTTATAGAGGACATCTGGTTTATACAAACTGGGAAATCGAGTGACTCATGGGCCTGAGATTCAATCTGAAGGTCATTGATTCGATGTTCCATATCGCCGGAATTCAAGAAAAAAACTCGAGGCAAGAGATGAAGTGAAAGAGGAGGAAGGTGTCATCATGTATGTATGTAATCAACGTGTACAAACATAGGTACGTTTAGGTTGATTCAAGTTTCAGCTTTCAATTATTGAAGACAACGTGGAGTAAATGGTGAAATAGAAGAGTTGGCTCCGGAGATTGCGTGAAAGAACTTGATTTTAGGGGAGAAAATAAATACAAACAAAACCCCTATATTGTATGACTTGAGATTGAAATAACAATTTAGTCAAGGTTCTTGGTTACACGACACCCTGAGTTGTCATAACAAGTATCCATCCAATGGGATCTTGCAAGTTGTAAAACCATCCATTTCAGATGCCACTTGGACAAATGTGTCTAAACCAAATCAAATCATTGTATTTTCATGAAACCTAAAGGCTGCTGATTGATCTTTAGACATTGCACGAGGAAAAAAAAAAAAAATCCCAAATATGAAAGATCTTGCCTGCAACAGTACATTGATTCCTCAGTTTCAGATAAACCCAGTACCGCAAGAACCTAAGCAGAAAGTTGGAGAAAATCGAGTCTAAATACAGGAACTATGGATCCGATAAAAGCTTAAAAGATTATGTCTCTATCCTCCTTGAAACTTGTTGTAAGAAGAGAGAACTGTCATAAAGGCATTGAAATACCTGCAATTCCGGAGAAAAGGTTCATGTCAATGTATTGAACTAATCAAAACCAACCTTGGATTTATGTTATGAGTTGATCGGCTCAGATGCACACACACACACAAAGAGTTAAGGTTCATCAGATTCAAAAATGGCTATACTTATATCACAAAATTCTGATGCTGTTAAGTTTGTCAAGTGAAAAACTTATGCTTGTCCATACACAAAGAGTTTCCAATTGAGGCATCATTCATCATAGTTATCGCCACGTAGACAGTAAAGATACAGTTTCAACACAGAGAAACAACAGAATGGGATATGAGTGTTGATAAACACATGTAAAGTAAACACACATGGTAGGGCAGTTCCAATGCTCTAATCTTCGGCCAGTAAGAAGATGAATATCGAAAGACAAAGAAGAAGAAGAAGAAAAGACTGACCTTGAGGAACTAATCCCCAGCTCTTGGATTCAATTGACAAACTTGATACCAGCCTGGACGATGCTATAGCATTGTGAAGAGGTATCATCGAACTCAACTCCACTGGTAATCTGTAAAAAAGGATTTGTGAATTCCTTAGAAAGATTCAGATTTCAGACAATGAGCAACTAATCGACACAGAGTCCCTCATTTCAAAGCTGATACCCCAAAGACTTATGATCATAATCGCTGATTGATTGAAAGACGACTAGTTGCTGAGGATTTAAGATAAAAAAAGTTTTTTTTTTTCAGCCATTGACAGCGAAATCAAACAAAACACAGACCTTGAAGATCGACTGAGACGACTAGTTGCTGAGGACGGTGATGCAGATTTGACGGGAGATGGGAGTGATGAAACATTGCCATTCTTGTTGCTGAGATTTTGGCATAGAGGCTTTATCCGAGAAGAGAATCTGCCTAACATTTTCGAAAACGCCATCGCCTTGGAAATCTCAGGGCTTAAGATTTTCGAAAATAATCAGATGAGATTATACATTTTAGGGCTTAAGGGGTTTCTGGTCTGTTTCCCGGGTCGGGTTATGGGTCAGGCAATAAAATATAAACTGAAGAAGAGAATAAAACAAGAATTGACTATTGAGGAAATCAATTCTCAATTTCGGAATCTAATTTAGCCATTCTCTCGGTCTCATTCTTATCGTAATCTCTCGAGCGTGGTTTCCCCAAAGAAGGTGTCAAAAATCCGAATCTGCGAGCTCTGAATTCGTAACCCTTGATGTAAAAATTCAAACTTTCGTATCCCTGATTCTCGTTCGATCAAACAAAAATTTTCTTCGATTTCTGCTCAAATTCTCGTAATTACTGATTCAATTTTCATTGTATATGTGTATTTATTGAAGTTCTTCTTGATCAGCGGAATCAATCTTCGAAAGATCGATCTTTGAGTATGGGAACAAGAGGCAATCGTGTGGGAGAAAGATGGAACGAGATGGGTTGTGAAGAAAAATCGAGCGTGATTGAGGAAGAGATCAAAAGGGTTAGCAAACTTCCTTCAAACAGTGTTTATGCAGTTCATCGTCTCAAGGTTCTCAACAAAATCAGCGAGCTTTTATCTGTCCAAGTAAGTAAAAATCTCATGCTTGGATGAGCAAGATGATATAACTGTGTATGAAAGCACTTTAAATATGCTTTCGAGTGATGAGCATTTTCGTTTCGTTGTTTTGACAGAGAACATTGTCGCAAGAGAAGGAATTAGAGTTGCTATTCACACAGCTCTCTCTGTGAAAGAAAGAAAAAAAAAACCTGAGTTTTTGTATGTATAATGGTGAGTGAGGAAGTTCCTTAAGAAAATTGCGGTTTGTTATAATTGGATTATATATGGTCTATTTACTAATGTGATTGTACCTTTTCACTCAAGATTGCAGGTTGATCAATGGGGTTGTTTTACGAATGGCAATCTAAACTCCAAGCTGATTCCTTAAGAAGTTGGTGTTTATGGTTACACCAAAACAAAAGTTGGGTTTTCATTGTATGTTTTTTAGTTTTCCTTATAAGGACATGTGCGTGTGTGTGGCATTTAGTGGTCTCTGTGACTGTCTTTTTATAGAAACCATCTGTTCTTTGACTGCCCATTCACCTCAGAGATTTGGACTAATCTAGCAGCAGGAGTTCTTGGAAATGATTTCACCTGTGACTGGGAACAAATACTAACAATCTTATCTCGTCGAAATCAGAGGTTGGTGCAAAGCTTCATGGCCAAGTATCTACGTCAAATCACCTTATACCATCTATGGTGTGAACGCAACAGAAGGCGGCATGGCGATTCACACTCAGACCCCGCAACAACTGATCAAATCGATTGGTAAAGGAATGAAAAATAGATTCAACTCTATTCGTCAACTTGGTGACAAAAAATACGAAGAAGGTTTCAAATTCTGGATAGCTTATAGGATCATAAACTAAAACTAATATCATTGCACAATGTAATAGGTTTTATTTTTTGGTTTTGATTTGCTACCATCTCAGATGTAAAAGCGTTTTTCTTTGTAATAAATTTAACATTTTTTCAATAAAAAATGTTCACCATTAATTCCTAAAGACGATTTTGATTAACCTTGATAATCCATTATATTTTTGCTTAGGCATTTTTTTTTAGAAGGAAATAAAAGGTTTGGTGATATTATTGGCTAAATATTACACTCCATAAATCATCAAATTATAAGGTTTTACCTTACTCTTGCTTCTTACCAAGGTAACATAAACAATCGCAATTTATATAGTTTTTCTTTTTTTGTTGAGATTCCAACATAACAAGAATTAAGAACAGTTATTACAAGGAGAGGCTCAAAATTAAATTAATTACATGGATTTCTAGTCACTATAGTGAACCTAAAATTTTTGGAAGGTTTTATTTGTGTGGAAATTTTCAATTTATCTTGGATTACCTGTATAGGCTTTATTGCCAAGTCTGAATTTGGGAAATGGTTTTTCACTCATTTATTTGGATTAGTTTTTAAAAATCCCAACAATAAACCTCCAATTCAAAAAGTATTAGGTATGACTTAAAGAAATGTGATTACCACATTTTATTCCTTGTACTATTTTTGCACAGTTTCATGATAAATGATGCTGTTGAAAATGTAAAATCTACAATTGCTTTTATTCAAAATATATATTTAATAATATAGTGTTTACTATTTTTTTTCAGTCATATCTATATTTCAAAGAGAGCTAAGCAACAACAGGGCTCGAGAATCAGATCTATCTTGTCAGAAGTTTGGACATCAGAGCAGACATGATTTGGGAGGTTTCTACTACATTGGCCTTCCACAACAAACATTTTTCACCGTGCGAGAAAAGAGTTTGCGGCTTTGAGTGAGATCATTGATAAAAAGACAAAGGAAAAGGAGTTTTACCCATTTGTGGACATACTCATTCTTCAGGTAAAAGTGAAATGTGGTCGTTTTGCAATGGTTTTTGCTACGGAGAATGAAACGAAGAACATACTGGACTTAATGAAGATTGCAAGAGACTCTTTGTCTTAAGATTATCAGTGGATTATGGAGTTCTATGAGTTTGTAAAGTCTTAGATTATCATTATGAGTGGGATTATTATCATGAGTGGGATTATTATTATGAGTGGAGTTGTATGAGTTTGTAAACAAATTTTCTCAAAAAGTACTGATGAATCAGTGATTTTCTATTTCATTCTTTGCATACATTGTGCCGTTTCTTCATATCCCTATGGCGATCTAACCTTACTTGTGATCGACCACCACAGCCATGGATCGGTCTTCATGTCCCTATTGTGATCTGACTTTTGAAAGTTGGAGAGACAACCATTCAGATTAGATTAGAGATATAATTATTTAGGTATTAGTCATATGTATTTATCACAGAGTTAACTTGATTTTGAGTTGTTATATGTATTTTATTTTAGAGTTTAGTTGGCAGTTTACAAAAATGTATCACAGACTGGATTAAAACATCAAGGATATCCGAGTTTCATATAATAAAAACGCCTATAGTTATATTAGATTATCTAGCAAAACTTTACAGCTATATGATCTTTGATTTAATAAAATCATCAGTTGACACTCTAAACAGCCGTTAAATACGCCATAATCTGAGAAGCGTTACCATTAAAGAATGATGAAAGAAGTCGTATGAAACAAATCTTAGTAAATTCTTCTTCTTTTTTTTTTTTTTTTTGTTGCAATCCGTATTATATATGATTGTATAAGCATCTTTCAAATGACGTGCGTGTAGATATTTCGGAGAAAGTGGGGGTAGACTAATTAGAGGGCTAAACAAGAGGATATGGATTGGTATTGGATACATATCAGAAATGGCATTGAAATGAACAAATCTTAGAGGGTGTTATTCAATCATGGTTTTTAATAGAATTTAAATCCAACCACAATCCACTATTATTCAACTAATGATTCTAAATAATGTTTTAAAATCAAGTGTTATTGGTTCTTTTAATTGTAAATCATATTTAAGAGATTTTAAAGTTTGGTGTTATTCAATAAAAATTTCAAATCTTTCATTAAAATCCAGTGTTATTCAAAACTAAATAATTTTTAAAATCTTTGTACATTAAGTCATTTCAAATCAATTCTAATAGAATTTTATGAGTAAATTATTAGAATCAAAATCCAGTGTATATTGCAGAGATTTTAGAATCTAAACAAATGAATCCATCAAACTGATATCAATTTTTAAATCTAGAAGATTATAAAACATATAAGATGAATCTTAGTCGACAAGATTTGTATTTAATCTTTCGTCTGGTTTGGTGGTTTTCCCGGTTTGCTGGTTTGCCCGGTTGGCTGATTTGCATGCAGTGGCACTAAGCTTGGAACATATGAAGAGCACACAACTGGGAGAGGATCTAGAGCTTTTCCGATATTAACAGATTTGAAGCAACCATCTTGTCCAATGATGTGAGCTGAGATGTAGCGATAGCCATCCGTGGTCTCTCGATTGAAAACCACAGCAACTTTCTTCTCCTCGTCAATGAAAAAACTCCCAGCAAAAGGGTTAACCGGAAACCCAGTGTGCGTAACCAAAAACTTGCTCCACGAAACCTCATTGGGATCAATCTTGTTCGTAACATATATCTCGAACGTGTGAGATGTATCGTCATGTTATACAAGACAATGACACAAAAACCCCAAAATCGTCAGACACAGAGTGAAACGACAGAGGCAGAACCGGTCCAAAGCTCTCGGTTGTAAAATCAAAAGAGAGTAAAAAGTCTTCAACCATTTCTGTTCCACTCACCGTTGTTATTCTCTTTGCACAAAAATAAGCATATCCCTTCAAAGACACGAAGCGAAGACTATAATCTACTACCCAGTCGACGACAGTGACATCATCAAAAACCTTCCATGAATTAGAGCTGAAATCGTAGACTTGGAACAACGTAACGTATTTTTCACTGCCGTCTTCAAGATGATCCAAGACTCATAATATCTCCTCCTCTACCAAATCCCCTGCAAGATCGAAAATTGTTCTCATTCTTCCAAAGCTAGCCCTTCTTCAACTACTCTACGCGTCTGGATTCCTCTTTGTGTGAAAGTTGGAATTAGAAGGGCTTGACCTTCATAAGATACAAAAAGAACAACGATAGAATACATACTTACAAGGTAGGTCGTCTCGTCTCTATACAAAATAAGGAAACTCATGACTCATGAGTAAAGGAATATTTACAAATCCATTCCGTAATACTTACTTTGTTCTAGTTTTATGGGCGTGGTGTTTTTTGGTTCAAGCCACATCTCTATTATTATTATTTGTGGGCTTGATTTTTAGTCTATTTATTAGTTTTTTTTTCCCTTTGAACAAATATATTTCTGCAAATGTTAAACAAAAAGAGAGATGGATAAGCTAACGACTCGTGCGTCTGCAGTTCCATAAGTCATTTTAGTACATCGCATCTCAACAACTCCTCAAGGGTTGGCTATAGTCGATAGACTTATAGTAATACCATAACACAAAAGAAGACGTATAAAACAAGTTATTACATTTTGAACTTTCCTGGCACAGTGGCACTCATACGCTGATAAGCCTAAAACCTTGACTATGATCAGATTACAAATTCGAGAGGATTGCTAATTTGCCAGGAAACATTGATTCTCTATTTCATTGTTCGTATACATTGCGCAGTTTCTTAAAACCTTTTGCATGAAAATATGCGACGTGGGTTAGTGCAGAATCTCTCTCTTGACAACTGTAGGTTTCTCTGGAAAAATGAGTCACAAAATACTGAAAAATAGAAAGAAACATTTTGAGGGCAAATGGTAGTTTAAGGGAAGAATGCGTTATTGCCTTGCAACAAGCCAACAACACGGGTCCTGCTTCTGCCTTTGCGTGCGTTAGCTATCATGCTGATCAATGCACCACCTGTGTCTAGTACTGAGTTGACACCCATCAGCTTTAATCCGAGAGTATTGATCAGATAGACCAATTTGCTTTCATTACTGCTTTCCCCCAATTCTTGAAGCTTCTGAGCTTGCTCCCGGGAAAGAATAGCGTATAGCTCAAGACGAATGGCTGAATCTTCTTCGGCGTTGTCAAAACAAACTCTGACTAATCCAAATGATTTCGGATCCTCGGTTAATGGGTTGAAGACAAACGACAACTTCCCAGTTACAATGTCGGGCCTCTTGAACAGATCTTCAAGAACATCGATGTTTACTCCACTGTATCTTTGGACAGGTTTCTTTGGATTGCTCCGAGAAACATTCGCGACATGAAGAATCCGCGACGCTTCTCTTAAACCGCTTAAGTAGGCACCGTGCATTGTGGCTGGATGTTGCCTTGTCGTTGCCTCACCAGCAAAGAATAGTCGGTTACTTACACTTTCAGCTAAAATGTCGTAGTCCACGCCAGATGAACCAACCCTTACATGAGAATATGACCCATATGACAAAGGATCACTTCCCCATCGAGTGCAAATCGTCTGTATTGGGTCAGGCACAACAACACCTTTAGGATCATATATGCCTGCCAATATGTCAGTCAAAAAACATTGTTATAGCGAGAACTTGGGGAGAAGCAAAAGGTGGATTTTTTAGGTTATCAACTATTACCTCTGAGTTTCTTTAAAACACTGTGAAGTAAAGCAGATGGTTCTGTGCACTCGAATCTCTGAGCAGCTTCTCCAGCAACTAAGGCAACCAAGGCAGGGCCACCAGAGACTGTATGGTATGCATAGAACAGAAAGAACTCTCCTCGGTTGATGCTACTCTCGCTGAGGCATCCAAACGTGTCTAACTCCTCACCCCAAAACACAGACGGGAAAAGCATGGCAACTTTGTTCAGAAGGCCAAAACCCAACCTGTCAATGGCTGCTTGTTTTCTTCTAGGTAACTCTGGCTCAAACTTGATAGATCTTTTCTTCAAGACCCCGAGCGGCACGGTGCATAGAATCATGTCAGCTTGAAATATCTGGCTCCCAGAAATGACCTCAACTCCTCCGCCTCCATACTTGATAGTGTCAACTCTTTTCCCATAGATTATGGGTAACCCTTCAGCTAATGCATTAATCAGTCTCCAGTTTCCACCAGCAAG